TTTTTGGCATACCTAGTATCAATAGAAGTTATTATTTAGAGTTTCAATACTTATACTTAGAAAAAATGAAAAAAAATCGTGGTTGGGAAGGTTATAGTAGCAAAAGCCATTGGAATTTTTATTTTATATATTGGAAGAATCCATGTTGTTAGTAATATACTAGAAAGGATAAAAGAATAACTGAAAGAAAAAATCAAAATAGTTATTCATCGAAGTCTCATTTATCCAATGATCAGAACTAAACGAGGATCCATCGCTCGAAAACGGAGGACAAAAAGTCGTTCCTTTACATCAAGCTTTCGCGGAGCTCTTACTCGAACTATTTCGCAACAGAGAAGAAAAGCTTTGGTTTCGTCTCAGCGGGATAGAGATAGGAAAAAAAGGGACTTTCGAAGTTTGTGGATCAGTCGAATAAATGCAATAATTCGACAGAATAAAGAAAAAATCTACTATAGTAATTTAATGTATAATCTGTACAAGAATCAATTGCTTCTTAATCGTAAAATCGTTGCACAAATAGCTATATTAAAGGGGAATTGTCTTTTTACGATTGCCAACGATATCATTAATAAAACTTCCCCGGAGAGTGAACTCCGGGAAGGTGGTAGAATAAAAGAGATTTGTATGATAAAATAGAATTCATATGAATTATGAAAATAATAAACCACGCTCAAAAAAAAATACCAATCCGCATAAACTTTGAGTTTAGATTCAATTAATGAAGTAAAGTAACTCTATTTTTTTTTTTTTAGAACAGGAGTTCTAGTAATCGACTTGCTTTTTTCATATTTTTTTTTTTTTTCATATTTTTTTTCATATTTTTTTTTTGCAATTTTAAGAAGAGGTGACGAACTTCCAAAAGGTAACAAAGATAAAATACGAGCTTGTTTTATAGCAATCGTAATCCATCGTTGTTGTTTTAAGGTCAATTTATTAACACGTCTAGATAAAATTTTGCCTTCTCGAGTGACAAGTTTGAAAAGTAAACTCAAGTTTTTATAATCAATTCGATCCCCAAATTGGATTAGGGGCGACCTCCTACGAATTGATTTCTTCTTCTTCGATTTAACAAACAGTAGCTTAGATGATTTAACAAACAGTCGCTTAGATTTATCCATGGTTTGTTTATTCCTATACCGAAAATCCCGTTTGTTATAAAACAAAGGATTTGTTTTAGTTATATATATTCTTATTTTTTTTTTTTTTTTTTAATAAATTTTATTTTTTATATAAGGAAATAGATCCTATATAATGATATATGTATATAATTTCATGTTATAGAATTTTATTTATAGAATATAGAGAAGATAATTTCTCTGATATCTATATAATTCATTTTTATGTTATTTAATTTTTTCAATTTACCTCCTAAGGGTAATACACAAGTAATCCATTTTCTCTATTTCTTGATCTCTGCGTGAATCATATGTTTGCAACAAAAGGGACAGAATTTTCTCAATTCCAATCGACTAGGCGTATTGTGTCGATTCTTTTGAGTAATATATCGAGAAATACCTCTCGATTCCTTATTAACACTCTTTTTATCACAACTAGTACATTCTAAAATAACAGTTATTCGGATATCTTTACCCTTAGCCATGAGCCTCCTTTGGTTTTTTTTATTCACTTAACTCTTCGATTTTAAGATTCGAAGGGAAGAAGAAAAAAGGAACGAAAAAAAATATAAGTTGATAAGTCAAAATAAAATTCTGAAATATTTTGTTCCAATTCATTTTATATAGTACAGTAATAATTCACTACTACAATGCTTTCGAAATATATTTCGAATTACAGTATAGTATTTCTGTTTTTATTTAAATATCTTTTATGATATTATTGCCCCTACCCTAATAATTCCATTTCTGGTCTGACTATTCAGAATTCTAATAGTTATTAATAGCAATGGAATTGAAGTATTAATTCAATTCCATTTAAACGAAACCTGGGCAAAATTCAAAATTTCACGGAGGCCCAATCCACCTTTTTGAATTTCCTTAATTTATTATTCTAGTATAAAAAAAGCAACGAAGAGGGATTGAATCACAGATATTTTATTGGATCCCTAATCTTCGTCACCCTTTCCCGTGCCAATAACTAGAATCAAAAAAAGGGGAATGTCAATGCATCTGGGAATAAACGATTGATTTCGATCAAGAGACCCGCTAGAGCCGCGAACCATAAAGTACTTGCCACTGGTGCCACAGAGAGATATGTTTTTAGATCTCGCATTTCCAATCCTCCTTCGTTTTTTCTTGTAATTTTGAATACCTAATAATACAGAATATAGGAATATGATTCCATGTTTTTTTATTAATAAAATCACTTGGATTTGTCGGGGGAAGTCCGAATCCAAATTGAATTGTACAACAATTCATTAGATATTTTTTTATAGAGTACTTTTTTTATAAGAATTAGAATAATAGACTATTATTCTAAATTCTATTATATATATATATTATTCTTATTTGTATATTCTTTGTTCTTGTTATTATACTCTTTGTATCTTATTATTTATATATCCTATCTATTCCCGGTTTAAAATTATTTATATTAATTGAATATAACTATTCTATCAGAATATTTGTTCTTTATATGATCGATCTAAGAAAGTAAAAAAAAAAAAAACAAAAAAAAAAGGAAGGATATATTCCATATATAATGGAAGAATGTGGAAAACAAGACAAAAATTTTTTAGAATGACACTGGAAACTTATGTCAAGGGATGTAGCGCAGCTTGGTAGCGCGTTTGTTTTGGGTACAAAATGTCACAGGTTCAAATCCTGTCATCCCTATTCCTAACGATTAGTTATCGTATGAGCAGTAACAAGAGATCAATTTTGAGCGATTCAAATTGGACATAGATACTCAAGTTATATGAATAGTTTTCCATATTGAGTTTGTATGCATGCAATATGTATTGCCATTTCATAAAATTCTTTAGGAAAAGAAAGCGCTCTTAGTTCAGTTCGGTAGAACGCGGGTCTCCAAAACCCGATGTCGTAGGTTCAAATCCTACAGAGCGTGATACCATTCTTCTGAGATGGAGAATGAGACTAAAATAATGGGATAACAGTCTAGTCTAATAAAAAAAAAGTGTTAATTGGATCTCCTGTCAATTAGGATTAAAAAAAAAAATAGGAGGTCAATAAACAAAAGAGACAGTACTAAATCAAATATCCAACTGATCGCCACGTCGGTATTGTAAATAGGCCGTTACAAATAATCCAGCCAAAGTAATAGGAATTAGACCTAACACGATTCCAAATAGAAAAACTTCAATCATTTGAGTTTGGTTGAAAGTAAAATAAGGTGGGGATAATATCGATCCTTAAATATGAATTTATATTGACCATGAATCTCAATGACCAAGAATTGGAAATATGATAAGAAACTATCAATATCCAAAATATTCTACAATTTCCAATTCATCTCTAAATTGCAAATCAAATAAGTCGTATCTTACTCAGACTGATAAAAATACCTGCGGTTATAGTTAAAACTGCTAGTATAAAACCTAAATAACTGGTTATAGTGGGCATAAGGAAACTAGATGAAATATATTCTTTTTATACATATGTTTATAAAGCACTTTCCTAAGTTTCCATTTTTTTTAGATCCAAATAGGTAAGCAAAAAATACCAATTGAAAGATACAATTGAAAATAATGGATTCATGAATCCATTATTACGGATGAACAAAAAGAAAAATATAGTTACATAGGTAAGAAATCAATTCATCATCTGTGACATCTACCCAGCCTATGATTCCAAATCAACCGATTTATTGATCAACTCATGACATGAGTTGAGTAAACGAAAATATTTCCATTTTTTCATTTTTTTTTTATATTTTATATATATATTTTTTTATATTTTATATATATAAAGCTCTATCTTTGTAATGAAACCAAGAAAGACCCATACGTAGACTTTTTGTGTCTAATATAAGAACAACGAATGTTCATTTTGAAGAAAAAAAGGATTCGTTGTTCTTGTATTAGTATCCATTGTCTGCATTCACTGATATAAACACGCATATCAAAAAAAGT